AAAAAAAAAAAAAAAAAAAACAACAACTAATCAAATATCATATTGGATGTGTCAGATTCATGTCAGAACAAGAGATTAATACTAAATATAGGAAATATGGTACAATAACAGTGTGAGATCTTTTTATATTCAAAATGACCAGGCAGAGAGCACATTATGAGATATTGGATTGATAAACAGGCTGGGATGCTGTTGTTCGGTGAGTATAATAGAACAATAACGTTGCTCCTGGGTTAGCAAAGATTGCATTATGATTTTAATGTGTTTTACAGACACAAGCCCTTCACTGAGAGGAAATTATGTCAATAAATAAGCAGGCTCACATTTTAAAACAAAGAGAATCATAGTCAATGAAAAAAACGTGCAAATATAGAATAGGGTTTGGTTACTATCAAATATCTTACACAGCCATGGATACATACACACATGCACATCATCATGGCACATTTTCAGCTCAGAAAAAAAGGGTTCTGTCTCACTTCTTTTTAAGCAAAAATGATGCACTATATGGACATATTAATATTTTAAATATCAGCTTTAAAAAATAAAACAAAAATATACATAATACATAACACTTTAGACAGCTCATATGTGAACTCTTTAATGGTCAGTATCTCAGAGCTACACTCCACCAAGGTTACAATGTACCTATATCCATGTTTATTTGCGCACACACACTCACACCTGCATTTGCCCACAGTGCACGTCAATGCATTTGCTGACAGTGCACGTCAATCATCACATTTTGGGAGTGCTTGCCAATCATCTCCTTCTCTCAACTCACCAGAAGCCACAGCCATCAGGGAACTTTCTCATCTGCCACTATCTGCCACTTCAGGTGTGGAACACCAGCTAGACGCAACCAGTCAATAGAGCTGTTTGGTACTCCAGTCCCTTGCTGCGGCCTAATTGCCGGTGCAAGACTCAAATATGTCCTACACTCCCCAATTCTTGTGAACCCCAACCCCCCCACAAAGCAATCCCCATTCCATACTCAAGATGGGTATTTACATGCCCCACACCGCGGAGAGCAAACAAGCTCATTTAAAAGTTCACATGCTAATGTGTGACATTTAATCCAAACTTTACACGGGGAAAAGGACACGCAACAATAGATTTTGATTCCTTTCTTGTCCGTGAATCTCATCATCTTTCGCCTTCCATATTTATGAGCTGAAAAGGCGGGACACCTTAGAGGGGAGTGAGGGGAAGGGACAGGGAGTTTACTATTTGAAAATTGGGCTGGTTAGTGATATTTGCACTCCAGAGTCTCCTTCTTTGTTGATATTGTTGATATGCACAAATTACTCATTGCTCTTCTTATTTGAAGCCACATGGCAGAAATCCACTAAATAGTGGTTAAATAGCCCACCTCACGTGTATGTGATATTTACTGACTGCAATATTATCAATTTATTATCAACTTTAAATGTCTGCAGGCTTCTCATTTTCAGCTGGCGAGTGTCCTTTTCACCAGCTGAAATGACAACTGTCTGTAGTATCAGCTGTGACTAATTATTAATGTAGCTAATTCCATGAGTTGGCCAAACCACAAAGTGAAACTATTAGCAATTGTCTGGTAAATGTAGTCTGAAAGGCAGCGCCTGCATGCTCAGCCAAAGACAATTTCCTAGAGATACACCACCCTGTGTCATTTTGATATTCCATAAGTGTGGAAAGAATGGAAAGTGGAAAAACCAAAAAGTCAGCCAAGGAGGTTACAGTTGGGAGGGGTAGATGGTTCTGTGCATGAGTGTGTGTGTGTCTGGATGAATTTTGGTTTGGCTGACACACATCTCCTGCATATTATATTCCCATGCAGATGTATGTTTAATCAGGATAGTATTTGTAGGTGTTGGGTGTCAGGAATAATTTTGTTTTTCAAATCTTCACTCCTGGGTCACTCCCATCATAACTTGCAGTAGGTATTGCTGTTGTATATGTTTTATTCTGTAATTTATTTCCCCTTTGGATGTGGTCTAAGCCAAAGATAAAATCACACTACGCTGACCCCCATGGGGAAAGTGGGCTTTAAGAGGCCAGATGAGACCAGATGATGAATTTTCATTGCATTTCTAATTTTTTTTCAAGCTGTGGAGTCAATTTTCAAGCTAGGGGTGAGACGGGAGCACAGCTAAACGAATAAGGTGACACACATGGATGCAGGGAATGTGTTTTTCTTGTGTTTTTTGTACCTCAGAGAGAAGCATCTCCTCCTTCTGGTGAGACTCTGACAGCTCCCTGTTCTGTCGCTCCACCTGCTTCCTGCTGACCTTCAACTACAGAGAGACAGAGAGAGTGGGATGGGAAACGGCTCAATCATAATAATGACAACAGAAAATGTTAAAATCCCCGACATAGGCTACTTTGAAGCTTCATTAGACACTGTGATTACATGTCCTATTACATTTTACATTTCCCCTAATGAAACAGCAATGGGTAAATAAAGACACAGATGGTCCTATAGTGTGAATCTTTTTGAGCGCCAAAGAAAAAGGTTTGTGATGTGCAAATAGTCAAGTTCTTCCTCTTTCTTTCTCTCTCTCTTTCTCTCTCTCTCTCTCATGCACAACACACACTCACGCGCACGCACACAGATCGACCAGGACAGGCCAGGGATGAGCACACCCCATCTGATCTGTGGCCCGTTCATTCATTAGACCCATGCTCTCCCCTATTGATTTCAGCTTAAATAATGAGAAAGCTTATCCAAAAATCTTTAGCATTTGGGCTCCAACTTAAGGGAATCGATGGGGCCATTTCCCATTTTGAACAGCACATACGCAGGGGTTTTATGTACGGTGAACGGGACAAATCCCGATGCTGATAAATCAATACACCTTTTTGTCGATGGACAGGCACGCTTGCACACACACATGCATGCATACATGGACACACATGGCTGATAAATGGTATTTTTGAGGCAATTAAAGTGAGCTGTAAACATATGAAGGCCAATCAATTGGTCAGTGAGGTCTATTATCAAGGCTTTAACACTGATTTAGAAGGAGCTTTAAGGAGCCAGCGGCTTTAAGTGTGGCACAGTCACTTATGCAGATCAGCAGCAGCTAGAGACCTGCACAGATCAGGACTGCACTGTGCTAAGCCGCTCACACAACAAGATAGTATACATGTCACCACTACAGAGCCTCAAAACTGCAGCATACAGGAAAATAGGGGGGGGGGGGCTTTTGTAATTGTTGGCACTGCTGATGACAAGTGAAATGAAAATGTGCTTCTAAGGGACTTTAAAAGCCCATTTTTGTTTATTGGCTTATATTATGTTCAAAAGTTCTATTATTTAACCAAGCTTGATATAGAAAAAAACTTAATATTGTATCAAAACATTTATAAATTATATTTTTGTTGCTTATCAAATCTTTTGCAAACAAACAACGTTCTCAGGAAGGGCGCCAATATTAACTACCTCTTAGCCATGGGCGTTGTTGAAGAATTGTATCATATATTCTCTCCATAATTCACTGAACCAAAAAAAAAAAATTTTTTTGCATCTAGGTGAAATATGGAGAAGGGAGGGGAGGCGCTGCGTGGTGGACAATTCTATTTTAGCAGGGGTAGACAAGCTTGTTAGGAGGAAAACGAATACATCAGTGCTGTCCACCCTCCAGGCTCCCCCCCTCCCACTGCTTCCACTTTGCTAAAGGTGAGACACATGCGTTAGCAAAGCTAACCTACAGACAACATTTCCCTGAGGTAATTGGTTCCACATTAATATTCATTTGATTCTGTATTCAGCGGCTATGACAAGCCTCTCTGCTTTGATGCTCTGTGCCTAGGTCTCCTCGCCCACCAAACAATGTTAACCCCACTTTTTCCTGCTATGTGAAATACCACAGTGACATAAAGCTCAACTAAAACCCTTCTCCCCTCTTAGTGTGTTACTGTGTGTTAGTGTTTGTCTCTGGTTTCTCTCATCCTGATTTGTACAGCGTGCCCTGTTCTTTCATTCCACTGGTTTCAGTCTGGTTGATCTGGTGCGTGTGCATGTGTGTTGCTGAGGCATGACATTTCAATTGTGCGTCCAATCAAATTGGCAGAGAGGCAGTGAGGAAGGCTGGGGAGTGATGAGGGGTGCGGGGGTGTTCTGAGGGTTGCAGACCAACCGTTACCATGGTGAACCACTTCTGTCAAAACCACCAAGGTCACAACTGCTGACCTGCAGTGTTATGGGACTTCTGAATAGCATACTGTATATGGACATGGGGATTTTTCTCGTTCTTCCTTTGCTTTTTTGTTCTTTTCCTTTTCTTTATGTATTCCTTTTTTTATTTCTTTCTTTCTTTACACAAGCCCACCCTTACTTTCTGTTTTGCTTCTTTTTTTCTCTTTCTCTCATCATCTTTATTTATCTCAATCTTCTTCGGTTTTTCTTTCCCTCTATGTACAACAACATTTCCTTAATTTGGCCTTCTTCTCTTACTTTCATATTTAAAATTGACTAATTGTACCATTATGAGACCTGTGGTGTTGCTGAATCCATTATGTATGGCCTGTGCTGGCAGTGAGTCTGAACACGGCCTGTTTTGAGTCATTATAATTCAGTTTGCTAACACACAGCCATTGTACTAGAGTGGGGTTAGGGGAGATGGTATGATAAAATATTGAGGGCGAGCAAGGCAGCTGCAGATGCTAGCTGTCATGTGTGAGCGAATGAATGTTATGACAAGCATGTTTAAACATTCATGCAGGGAGGAGAGTTTAGGAGGGCTTTTCATTAACACCAATATGTCTTCGTCTCCCTGGTGCAGACACTGCTGGTGTAAGCATGACAACAACAGGGAGGAGAGGAATTAACATCTTGAGAGGAAACTGTCACAGACACACACATAAAGAGAGGCAGATACACTCAACCCTGTGCATGAGCACACGCACAAACATACACATTTTACATCGGCTGAGTACTCTTCACTACCTTGCATCTAACATGAAAAGTACTAAGTGAAATTGACACTCTACTTTCAAACTCTAACAGACGGCAAAACAACTTTCTCTTGTTTACCACAGCAACTATCTGAAAGTGTTAACATCGTGTTCTGAGCTGATCAAATAGCTCAGAGTAGAACTGAGCAACACATTCAAATAGTGCAGTGGGTTCTCACATCAACCACAACAATGACACAATAGATATGAAGAATAGGGATGTGGGAGGTTTCTAGGCCAAACTTACATCACCTACTACCACGCTGTCAGGTTGTCAGGAGATTTGACCTGGTAGCAACAGTGCAGTCTCTTGACAGTTCCTGGAGACTAGAGAAAAGAAAAGCTATGTGTGGCAGAGCAATGGCCAATCTGTAGCCTTGAAGAAGCTAGATGAAGAGACACTTAGGGGGTTGGAATAACAGGGCTGTGGTAAATGGGTGAACACTGTTGTCCTTGTAAATAAAAAGTTCAAATATTTCTTTAATCTCTTACCTAAGCCCTGTCAGCGTATTAGAGGCATGTCTGTTTGAAAAGTACATGGCATGCATATTACACCATTCTAGTAATATAGCTCAACATCATTATTTTGTTACTGTGGTATGTTATTATGGAAGAGGTATACACATTTTAGCTCACTAAAACTCCATCAAATGGAGTGCAAAATCAATACCTACGCTGATGATCTCATGAAGTCAAATCAAGGCAAAGGAGAAAAAAGGAGCATGAAGTATTCTCAACATAAGTGGATTTGACTTGCAAAATGTGTTTGCATAACATGAGCTTTAGATAATGTCATAAATGGCTTTAAATGCTGCAAGGTGCATTAAAAATATGCACAGTCATCCATTTTACCTACACCTTGATGCTAACATTTTGAATTAATCTAGTTTTCACTGGTCAAGCAATTCCATTTTGATATTCAAATGTGGTGCGTGTGCGTGCCAGTGCATGTTCACGCAAGATTGATCTAATCAGTCTTAAATCAGTTAATAAGCCAAGGACACAGAGGAGATGAGTCAGCTGAAGTGAGCATGAGCTAATATTAGCATCTCCCCCCACATTCAAGACCCGCACTGCACAGAGTAGCATCCACTGTTTGGTCTTCCCATTACAGAAGTGCAGGCTTTGGACGTCAAGCACCGCAGTTTAGCTCACCGCAGTGAATTCCATTAGCACATTAGCAAAGGTGCCATGACCTAATGCTAATGTTGGGCACAGCATTTAATACGTTATTCATTTTTTTAACACCTTTAGTCGATTTTGAGGGCAGCCCTTAAACTATTCTAAAACAAAAAAGGAAATCCACGGCAGTCCACATAAATAAAACAACTGAAAGATAAATAGCATGTAGCTGAGAGGTAGTGGCACGCCTAGAGCTGAGTAAATATCTCAGTTGCCACTCATTAAGGACTCTTGTCTGAGCTCTGACACAAAATGTAACTCTTGTCAAATAATTCTGACGCTGTGTGTGTTTTAATTGAAGCTCTCCCACTGTCAGCCATGCAGCCCAAACCAGAGGAGCGGATGAGTGCTGCTCTGTCAAAACTAATTCTCATATACAAACTGCACATGATAAACTGTGTGTTGTAAACACAGACGCACAGGCACATGCCACAGAGACAAACAGATGCACACGCGTACACGAATACTCGATACATGAAAACTTAGACTCAAGTGTGCACGGAAACTTAAACTGACTATTAATTAAAAGCCAGAGCATGCAGCTGACTCGGGGGAGGCGGTTTGCGACACCACAAATCTGGGAGACTTCCTGTAAGACATAAATCTGTTGTGTTCTCTCTCTCGCTCTGTCTCTTTCTTTCTTGCATAGGCACAACAAAGACAGTCTTGTCTGGGTGTCTCCCTCCCTTCTCTCTCCTCAACATTCATTAGAAGCACAAGAAGCTGTGGTCAGGTTCAAAGAAAATCTACATTCTCCCTCTTTCAGTCACTCATTCATTCCCTCTGTCTTTTTTCTTTCTGGTTTGCACTCGCCTTTGCTCATTTCCTACCCCTCTCTCTATCTCTCCCTGTCCCTCTCCAAGTCTCTCTCCCACCCCTCTCTAAACACTGTCTCTTCCACATGGCCCGGATAATGAGTGGTGGAGCTAAACGAGAGGAAACACGGCTCACTATTAGGATGGGAACGCTGACTGAAGGTTTTAAATAAACGGAGAGAACTTGAGGCCAAATTGTATTTCCAAGGACATAAACTAATGGAACAGGCAGACATTCTCTGAATAAATACACACTCTGTTTAAACTACCATAATAGTTGTAAAAATATACATGTCCATGTGGATCTAACTGAGAAACAGACTGGCAGAAGACAGTATAAATGCATACGGTATATTCTCGCATATGCATAGAGAAAATGCACAAGCACTGTTAACATAATTTCAATGCCACTTATTTTCTTGGTGTGAAAAAGCCTATTTCCTCGCATTCAAAAGCAGAACAATAAGGGCTTGAAAAAAACATAAATGCTGAATTGTCTATGTCATTGAAAACTAATTAGGCAAATGTGTTTTCTTAAGTGTCTCTGATCTGCTCTCAGGCACATAAATCCACACCCACATATAAAAACAAAGAGGAGCCCTCCCTTCCTCACTCTATGAGGTTAATTGGGTTATCTAGGCTGATTAGCATAACTAATTAGGATGCTTGTTAACAGATAAGTATTATTTATTCAATTAGCGCTCTGGGTGCATGTATGAAGCTGTGCATGTGTATAGATCCCCTTCATCACTGGCACAAGTTCAAATGGAAAATGAAGCAAAGCTAAGTAGGCATGAAGTGAGACCTGTGGGTGTATGTGTGTGTTCACTTCATCATTTATCTATTCTACACACACAGATGCTCACCAGCAGGTGCCAGACAGCACCCCCCCGCCTTCACACACACACACACACACACACATACACACGTGCCAAGTGTGCCATGCTGCAGCTCTTAAATCCCTAATCATCATCATTAGGCTTCTGTTTAGCATAATTAGCATTGTTAACCAGATGAGCTGAGTCGAGCCAGGCTGTGCCAGTCACAGCAACTGACATATGTCACCCTCCCGGGCACCTTTCCAGGCTGCTGAAGAGGCTACTTGTCCCCATCAGGTGGGTTTATGGCACATTTGCATGTTTTCACTGATTGCTGATGGATATTGTAGCAGCTGATGTTCACAGTGCATTCCAATGCAATGTAGGCAAAAATGTCCAACGGGCTGATTTATTTTTCTTTCTTTTTTTTAGGGCAAACAGGTAGTAAAGTGACACAACTCTTGCAGTTCTATCAGTTCATGGAACAATACTGGGCTCATTTCACCAATTTATTCATTCATGTTTGCAAATGCAGATGCTGTCTTTTGTTTGTGATGTTTAACATGCGCTTCAAGCCAACAGTAAACACGAAAAAAGCAAATCAACAACGCTCTTCTAGTCTTCAGCTCACATGTGAAAACTCACAAACACACTCCAACACTCACAAATAACCAGAGAGGGAAAATGAAAGAGAGAGAAAGAGAGCGGGAGTGCTACATTTACTGAAATTAAACATTTTCTCATCAGCCTGAGGGTGCAGCAGGCCCACTAATGTATTATTCATCCCCACTTCACAAAGGAACATTAATCAATTATGAAGATATGAGGATCTTAAAGTATAGAGGAGAGACGAAGAGCGGCCTGTTCGTATTAATATGCGGCCGCAATCGTGTGGCCCCCACCCCTCCACCCCCTTGCTCCTCAAATCAATATTTTGCAGATTAATTTGGAGCGGTTGTGGCGAGATGGCAGGATGGAAGGAAGAGGGGGTGGGGGGTGAGGGGGTGGAGGAGAGAAGAGAGTGTCTGAGGTCTGAATTAAGGTTAAGTATTTTGTTGTTGTTTTCTGTGTAAGTGCGTGCACATGCATGCGTGTAAATATGTTGTCTTCTGTACTACTGTAAGCCCACATGCTAAAACAGCTTCAAGAAAACTTTATCATCTAAATTATGAAAGCTCAAAAGAGGAGAGACTATTTTAAACATGTGAACTTTATTATTAATTGAATGATTCTTGTAATGTATTAACTATAGAGGGAGGTGTGTTGTTGGGTGTGATATTGTGACTTGGGTTCATGATGAGTGTCTTTAGCTTCCCTTGGTTTTAGAAATCTTTGATTTGGACGTACTGCCCATAGCATAATATCATACACGGGAATTAAAACAAGGGAACACAATGACAAGAATCAATGTTCACTTTTGCAGCCAGGTTTACACATTATCACCCATTGTTGAGTACTCTGGTTAAATACAATAGATCTACTCAGTACATTAATATACTTACCTCAGAATTCAAAATAGCTGCCTTCTCAGCCCACTTTTTAACAACTTCAGCATGGGCCTTTCTCTCCTCCTCAAGCTCCCTGTTCCACTCCTGCCTCTTCCTCTCCTCCTCCACTTTCTTCACGCACTCCTCCTCCTCTCTTGTTTGTTGCTCCTGCCTTCTGCTCTCCTCTGCTTGTTGAATCTCCTTTTCATGTTTCAGTCTCTGTTCATCTTCTCTTTGCCTCCATTCCTCCTCTTTTCTCTTCAGCTCATCCTGAAGCTCCTTCACTCTCACACTCAGTTTGGAGAGCTGAAGTCAGACAGGCAATTGTTTAATGTGCAGGCAGTCATATCTCTGCACTCAGTAAAACAAATGAGGTACCAGTCACTTAATCTGAAAACTAATCTGAAACATCTGGTTAAAAAAATATTTTTTAAGTGACTGACTGACAGCTAGTGAGTGCATTTATGTTTATATTATCAGCTATTTTTTTCATTTACAGTATCTACTGAGGTACATGTGTGCAAACAGAAATCCCAACTAATCAGTGGTGGAAAGTGCATTTTCTCAAGTACAGAAGTTTAGTTGAGTATCTGCTTTTTATGCTACTTTTTTTTTTTACTTTATACTACAAGAGTAAAATATTGAATGTTTTACTTTACTACATTTATTTGGTGTATTTACTAATACTCTTATGGTCAAAATTAAACCAACTTTTTTTAATCAAATACAACACATTTGAATTATTATTAAACCAATGGTCTCCAAAATGTTTGACTTGTAACCTCTTACATAATATAATGTCTAGTTGGGGCACCTTGTCATATTTCACATGTCTATGAAGCGCTCACGTGGTTTCATTTAAATAAATTCAATATTTTGAGATTACAGACAGGTCCAAAATATAGAAACTTTTCCTTCTTTCCTCTTCCATTAATCATCTCACAACGCCTAACATTTATCTTTGGGGGGGCCTGACCCCCCTATTAACAGTTTAATAATGTCAGATATAACACTGGCTGCCAACCTGATGGTCCCAACCCCCAATAGAGGTTGTCAAAGCTTCACAGGAGGTCATGAGGCCTTCTTGATTTTAAGGGGGGTGAGAAAACCTTTCTAGAAAACTACAAAGTATGTATTACCTCAGCAGTTTATTCACGTCTATGAGGAAAACCAAATGAAATTGTTATTTTCAAAGTTTAGAATATTATTAACAATATAAACTTAAATCTTGCATTATAAGGGGACAGTGGAGATCTGAACACAAGCCATATTCACAGAGCCTTCACTGTCTGCTTGCATTAGAAAAGTATGTAGTTAAAACTACCACAAAGCTAATAGAACAATGCGTTGACTGTTTGTCTTAATTGTACAGTTTATCAGTTGTTCTGTACTGATATTGTTATGCATTGAATATAATATAAAATATCCATAAAATATGTTACTAAGTCAGGGTTCGTCACTTAACTCAATGATATTAAAGGAGTCCCTTAAGGAAATAATTAATTTAGACAGGGGACATTTTACTGCAGAATTAGTGCTTGTACTTTTCGTACTTTTCGTACTTTTCATACACTATGTATATTTTGCTGATTATTTTTTATCAACTTTCACTTAAGCAGGATTTTAAATGCAGGACTTTTACTAGCAATGGAGTATTTGTACGTTGTTGTATTGATACTTTTACTTGAGTAAAATATCTAAATACTTCTTCCACCACTGCAACTCATGCACATTTGAGTCTCTGCCCACCTGAACATGTGTGTCGGCCCCCTCTTGTTGCAGCAGCTGAATGTTAGCTTGCAGCTTGGTGATGCAGATGTTTTTGTCAGCAATCTCCTTCATGTTGTCTTTCTGGATCCGCTGCAGACAAGAGAGCTCGCTCTGCAGGTGCACCAGCCTCTCACTACTTTCCAGCACCTGTGTTGCAGTCTGGGCCATGACAGATTTTAAATATTAAAGATTATTTTACAGAAAGAAATATATTTTCAGTGAGTGTGACAAATTATAAATGAAACTAATGTTTATTATGTTTCAAAAATGTTATTAATTACAGTATTTCTTCACAAATATCATGCAATAATCTTAAGCTATCTAACAAAACACAAAACATCAGTAGTTTTTATACACATTTTTATATTAACTGTTCATATCCCACTTTTTCAGAACAGAACTCTTTTTAATTGGGGAAGATTGTCTTCTACCATTAGTATAATCTCTAATATGATATGTAATTCATTAAAATGTTTATATTTAGTCTTCTTCAGATAAAACAGCAGTTTAAATGAATGTTTTTACTTATTTATGATGATTTCAGACTGTACAGGGTGACACCAGTTGCCAACCATAAACCACTATACAACAATGATAATAGTGTGTGTTATATAAAGGAAACACTGCAGCCTGTTAGTAATTCACATATTATCACAGATGAAAACCTTCTGCACTAAAACATTCAAAAGAATTAAATGTATACATACATTGTTTTTATTGTTAAGGACATATAGTTGTTTTAATTGGCCTTAAGAAGCATCATATTCTATGAACTTATTGTGTTCATACAGAAACTCGCTTATTAACAAACACAGATGAAATTCTGTGCCAGCAGATCTATCTGCGCATCTGCATTGCAGACGTACCAGTTAAACAGAAACACAAGCAGAATGAGAAAATATATCAACATTTGTTGAAAATTTGATTAACAGAACAAGCTGAAGTTTGTTTCTCTAAGGCTCTATAATCACACAAACCACTAATTAGCAGCAGTGCAAATGAGTCAACTCACAAGCAGCATAAACAAACAGTAACCAGCCAACACACACATAAACAACCAACAAGCCCGGGTTTACCACAAGCACAAATCTAAGTGTGTGTGTGTGCATTTCTGCAAGCCTGTGTGTGTTTACGTGTGTCTTAACCGTAAGCCACAGAAGACAGTAAAACAGCAGTGGGTATAATTTAGTGACACCCTGTAAGGAGGTGTGGGAAGGCCGTAAAAAACTCTCCCTTTTAATCCCGGCCGGCGACGCCATGTTTGTTACCCAGGGCTCTGAGATATGCTGGTAATTCATCACACACGCCTCGGCTTCCTGTTAAACCTGGCTGCACATGGAGCGTTTCTAGCACAGCTGCCAAACCAATATCGTAAAAAAAAAAAAAAGACTTCTCCACCTCTCAGACAGGCTTCTAAACAATAACAAGCACGCTGCAAAAAAATATCTTAACAAGTCATTTAATTGTGTAGAGCTGTGATGCAAAACTGTGGTGAAAAAAATCTGATCTAAAAGATTTAATTTCTATTTTTGCATTGCAGGCTTACTTATTTTAGGAAGTACCTTGAACACCAATAAAGGAAGACAGTCCAAATAACTGCAGGGGTATGCAATATACTGTATTCAATTAAATCAAAAAGCTAAATTCATAACCAATACGCAGATATGTTCACAAAACGACTGGACAGAATATATTGATGACATTGTTGTGGCGTAGTTTATCCTTGGCAATAAGCTCAAATCAGGACGAGTCGAGTAGATTACCTTTTGCTTTTGCTGGAAATTCTCCCTGAGTTCCTTCTCCAGATCAGAGATGACCACGTCTTTGGTTTGCGACTGGATTTTCAGGTCTTCTAACTCGGATGCAATCTGGACCAAGGAAGCAGTACTGTAGCAGAAAAAGGAGGAAGAGGAGAATTACAGGGGAAAAAAACTGTAACGTAATATATAAGTTGCTGATAGATTCACTGGTAAAGTTTCCAGTTACCAAATGTGATCTTAATTACAAAGCCTAATTATGATCATATGCTCCATATACAGTAAATGCTTATGGACAAATAAAATGAATTAACACAGCAGTTTTTCCACTGTATTAAAACTGACAGAAATGTTACACATGAGAACCATTTTAGAAAACTAATCCTGAATGAACCTTGATGATTAATTAAGTTAAATTAATTAATGCAATGCTTTCTAACATAAAATAACAAATAAATAAATCAATAAATAAATAAGCAATTCACTTTGTGAACAGCATTCATTGTGTATACAATGTAATATGTAATTCATAAAATAAATCTAATTCAAAAGCAGACATGCTGAGCCTGGTGAAATTTGTGCTAGGTGACAGCAACTGGAGCTGATATGCACGTATGTGTGTGTCTGTGTCTGTGTGTGTGAGTGTGTGTGTTTCCCAGCGGTGAAAATACGTTAACTCTGCCCAGACACCTTTCTGAGTCACCAGTGACAGCTGTCACACACCCAAGATGGAAGGCAAAAAAAGAAAAAAACAGATCACACAGTAGTGTGCAGTACTCTTCGTATACACACAGGCACGTACAAACACACACACAATTTCATATTTACCAGCCTCATGAGATGAGTTATTCTGATGAAACTTTGCGCAGATTAAAAATGTTAAACTCACATTTGATCAAGCGTGTCTGCACGTTCGCACCAAGCAGGGAAGGAAAGGCAAGATTTGACAAAAGTGACATGTGAGTGGATAGAGAGCGCTGAGAGTTAAATCTTTCACTTCAGGAAAAAAAACAACTTTTCAGTCAAATGGAGTAAAAGCCACAGAGGAGAGTGAAAAAAAATGACTTTAGATTACATTCTGTTTCTGTCTCTATAAGAGAATGGGAAAGTGTGTGCCACTGTGCTAATTCACTTTCTATTCCAGTCTAACTACAGTGTTCCTTTGTTATGAATTATCACTTTGCTGAACATTTCACTAAGAAAAAGAATGCACAAAAACTGTGTGTACTCCTAAGTATGCACAGAAGCTTTTATATGTATAGAAATGTGTAGACAAAGGCAACCATTCCCTAAGTTATGTACAAATTTCAAACCTCAACTTTTTACAAAGGACAAAACCTTCTACAGTTGCATTATAACGTAATTTTTCTTATTATTTTAGGGCCTTTCAGATGGAGGGAAAAGGCTTAGTCTATTTATTAGCATTTTCAAAACTTATTTCTCTTTCAGTATGGTGAAAAAATACTTAAATCACCCCAAATTTAGGAAAGATTCTTTGGAGACGAATTGTCTGAAATGGGAACAAGTTGAAAATCGAAAGAGGGTTTTGAATGAAAAGTAACTGCAGCCAATTTCATCCCTATTTTCACCTGCACAGTGGGGTGGTGGGTTTAGAGTGCTGTGTGTGAGTGTACATGCATATACAGAAAATACAGAGAACAAAAAAAGCTCGCTAGCTGAGATAAGGAACGTCATTTTGTCTTGGCCAAGTATTCCGTTTAGAAATGAACAGATGCACACACACCAAGCTAATGCGCAGTCAACAAAGATTAAAACATTGAAGAAGAAAATAAGCGCAGTGTGTATTACTTAATGGTACATAAGGTTCTATTTTATGCACCGTTAATGACTGAATTTAATACAGATAGAGGCTGAATTTTAACATTATTTGCTTCTTTTGGGAAAATGAATACAAACACATTTTGATCTGCAACAAGTCAAAATGCAAATGTATTCATGCCATACAAGGTGCGTGTGTGCATGCTTGTGTGTATAATAGGTTGTGATTATGCACGTAACAAATGAGGCTATATGATTTACTGTATTGTTATATACAATATAGTAGTTGTGGTAAACAAATGACACAATGTCAAACCAACAGATGAACAGGGAATTCCTATTTAGAGCCATAAGTGTTGTTATGATTACTGTGTGGACACAGAGAGCAGGGAGAGTGAATACGACTGAGGAGAGTGTGTGTGTGTGTGTGTGTCACCATGAGTGTGTGTGATATTAAAGCAGCCTCTCGATATCTCAAGCTGTCACTCAGGCCTATTAGGCAAGGCTAACAAAATTAGTCATGAATATGCAGTAATAACATGCAAATTGCCACCCCTTCCCCCTGTCCTGTGTGCTTGTGTGTGTGTGTGTGTGTGTGTGTGTGTGTGTGTTTGCCCTCAGGGCTATAGACATTGGCTCTGTAAACCCAATTCTTTCTACATCATTACAGCAACAAGACATAATTCATAAGACAAATATAAACATGCATGTTGCCTGGCATACATGCTCAAGCACATACACATGCATGCACACACACACAGAGAACACATAGGAACACAGGCTGGCCCTTACGCTGCCGTCTTCATTATGCCAGGCTAATATACTGCAGGTTGTTGTTCACCATTTTTATGTTGAGGAAAGAGTTTTAGGGTTTCCAGCGCCACATTTTATCCTTAAACACACACACATTTGTGCGTGTGCGTACACAAACATGTAGATCGTCTGTTGCCTCCGTGTCCCCAGGGTGATGTTTGACACAGCCTGGGTGCTGCCACAGCAATTAACCTCCCTGTTAATGAGAAGAGCTCTGTCAAGCAGCCAGATGGCACTGCCTGGCACGCTGCCATGCACACACACACCAGCACATGTGCCACAACATACAGTTACATTCACAGACACCACACTCTCACACAGAGACACGCACGTAAACACATTTATGCACATGCAGACAGACACACAATCCTGTCTCCCCCTGCTGTACACCTAACTGTTGCTGGTTGTCGGTGCCCATCACCCATCACCCATCACCCCTCCCTCTTCACTTCTCCCCTGCATTGTCTTCTATGGCTCCCCATCCTTCCCCTCTTCCCTCCCCTTCTCCCTCCCTCCATCTCTGGCAGCTGCTTATCCATGTCGCAGCACTGCAGATGTCACAACTCACCAGCTGGGAAAACAGCAGGGGAGGAGAAGAGAGGAGAAGATTTGAGAGGAGAGGAGGAGTTTGTTGCATCTCCGTATTTGACAGAGAAGCAACCAACTGGATGAAGATTTATAGATTTATACATGATTGACTGATTGATTGAGTCATTAGATTAGTTGTGTTAAGATTTGCCACTCTATATAACAGACTGTAGGGATTTTAGGAATTGTTTCCACAGTTGTGTGATTATGAATCGTATACACATTTATGTTTATGAGAGCGTATACATTTGTCTACTGCACATGTCCTGCTCTGTGTGTGTGTGTGTGTGTGTGTGTTGTGTGTGTGTGTGTGTGTGTTAATGAGTGTGGCACTTGGCCGGGTCACAGCCCACTGTGTATGCCTGTCTGCATGTCCGCACAGCAGCCCACCAGGCCCGTGTATTGATCAGTTAGCTTGGCCTAATAGGAGAAGAGGAGCCTGACCTGGGAAAGTCAATATGGAGAAAAAGAGACATATCCTCCTCTCGTCCTGAGAGACAAGTGGGAGAGAGAGAGAGGGAGGGAGGGAGAGAAAGAAAGAGAGAGGGGAGGCAAAGAGACTGATAGAAAGTTATGTGCATCTACTACCGTCCTTGCAAAGAAGAAATTGGTAAGGGAAGACTCGGGAGACTGTCAGAAAAACAGCTGAACAAAATAATAATGTAACAATAATGAACCTCCAGTCTCCTAAGCCTAAATATCTTATTACTTTTGTTAACAAAGAAAAGTTTGGAGTTTTAAATTAGAACAGTTACACTGAGGGATACTGCCAGAGTGTGAAATAAGTTAAGTTCCTACCTTTCCCAAATGAGAATCAGGATAGTCTGTCAAAGCTTCTTTTTTTTACCTAACTAACTTTCAGCATTTGACTGCTTTTGGCAAAGGAAAACAGCACTCAAGTTAACTCAAGTGAAAAAAACTCTGCAGGAGATTATACCAAGAGAAAATAATTAAAAAATTGGAGGGAGATGGAAAATAAAAAAACTGACACCCACTCACACATCAATACATCGATAGATCAATGTGTGTGTGAGAGTGTGTGTTCTGTACACCATTTCAGCAGAAATATATAAATAAATCTGTTGATAAACAAAAAAACTGAGGAAATGGAAAAGTAGATAAAAGACTTAGGTTTCACCATTCACATTTACACACACACACACACACACATACACCTGGCTGAGTGATGCTACCCTGGAGGGTGGCTTCAATCTGATGTGTTTAATGTTGACGCTGGTGGCAAGAAACACACACACTCACCCGCTGTTTCAACCTGCCTGTCATTTCATTTCATGAGACCTGATTTACTCATTTCATTTATTTCATTTTTTTTATTATATTATTATATGTGCAGCCATTTAAAACGCTCAAGGTGTGATGCAAATCCCCGTGTCTCTGACAGCAAGTACGCTGACTGAGGATCCATCACGCCCTTCAGTGCCTTTCGCAGGAATGGCAAAAAAACACTGTACAGCCACATACTCAATTGTGCCACATTGTGCCTGACCACCCATTCCTGCTTGGCTGGGTGCTTTAATTGGCTGCACTGCAGGCTGTCAAACTACTGACTGGTTACTTGAGACCGTATTTGGATGTAGTCTTACTGACAGCTTCTGAAAAAACAAATATTGACTATAATATTATCCCTTTGTTTGGAAATCAGTTGATTTATTTCATGAACTCACGCTAAACATTACAATGTCAACCTCTATGATATAGTCCCTGACAGAAATCTGTTACTTTATATGTTGTCAGTGCAAGATATGGAATGGAAAGTTGCTGTGAAGATATGGTATTTAAGTAATCATTAGGTCAATTTGATTTCAGTTTTTCAGTAGTTTTCACTGACAAAAACAGGGTGTGTCTGATCCTTCTCCAGTGTATCACACTTCTCACTGCTGCTCAGCTACTAAAGGCACTTACTATACAGCCAAAGCTAAACATAGTGAAAACTGTCACCAGGTAACTTTAGCTTCAGCAAGCCATGGAGATTATCAGAAGTCATTTTCATATCAAACCCCTCCCTGGTCTGGTGAGTCCAGGTGCCTTGCTAGCAATGCAAAAATCTGGAATAGGTACATATGTATGAGCATGAAGATTTCGATTCAGAAAAGGCTTCTTTCATTAGTTCTGTCAAAATGTGTGAAACTTAAAGTAAAAACCTGTCTTTCCAGAAAGGTATAAAGTAGAAACAGAACAAGTCTTTAGGGGCCTTGGAGCACTGCATGGTGGGAAATATCATATAGGAATTTGCATATTGCCATGGGGACAGTGGTGTTGCAGCGACTCCCTAAGGACCTCAACCTCCCTAAGGAGAGACAGAGTCCCCGAGGCCAACCCTGTTACCTTTCTCTACACCGAGGGGACCAGTGTGTATGTGTGAGTGTGTGTGGTCGATTCATAAAGTTATTATAAAGATGTTATTAAAAAGAGTAAACTTTTTCTGGGAAAAATTGCCTTGTTGATAAGGAGGGAAGCTGAGTGACTAATAATCATTAGAAGTCAGCCGTACAGAATACCTGTGTGGGATGTGAACTGCAGGTCCAACAAGCTCATCCAGCAAAATAGTCTTCAGATCAACAGCAGACACCTGGGAGATACAGAAAATCACACCTAGATTACTCATTATTAATTATTATTTATTATTCATTTATGTACATTACATCTACAATTATATGACCTTCAAGGGGAAACAACAATACTGTACTTGCTTTTCTAAAATCTAATTAATGCTGATATATTCAAAGAGAGTTACATTTGCAACATAATAGAGCTTTGACTTCTATTTATTAATTAGACACTGCTCAATAAAGGAAAATTATTTTACAGAAAGTGATTTTCTCAAGTGCTGTAAAGTGTGATGAAGTTTGACAGTCCACAGGAACAGAGGTGTTAAGTGAGGCCCTGACTGATTGCTAGGAATGTGCATCTTAATGACCATGGCAACATGACAATAGTGTTGTGGGGGAAAAAGGACGAGGAAATTAAAAAACGGCATGAAACTGTATAAACGATTGATGAAAGGAAAAAAATGTCTCTGCTTTCTGCTTTGCTCATTTTCCAAACAGGGCCAACTGCACACAAATCACCCAAATCTAATCAAAAAGTTGACAAAATCAAATATAGAAGAAAGGATCGAAGATGAAATTTGAAATACGATTACTGTAATGACTTAATAATTTGGCTTTCCTCTTTAGGGATTCAAAAATAATATATTTGACGCAATAGTAGCACAGGAAGTCACTTGCTCTGAAAGGAGGACATTGAGATAAAAAGTGCAGACACAAACACACACAGTCTTCTGTTCATTCTCAGATGCAGAACAACTCCTTGGACTCAAATAACCCTTGCCATTACCCTTTCTGCCTGTCTCTGTCTGTCTCTTTTTCTGACTGAACATTGTCCCATGAAGGACCAGTGGGGAATATGGGTCAGCATTGTTATTGTGAGGTCAATTCATACTGTAGCGGTATAAAAAAATAACTTAAAATAAAAAAATACAAATGAACCTAGCTCAAAAAAGAGCTGTGGTGGTCCAGCTTTTTCATCACACAGGACTATTAAGAAGAGAGAATGAACACAAAGACAAAGGAAAAGGGGGGTGGACAAGGAGTTCAAAAGAGACAACAAAGGGGATGCAAGTACAGAGAGAGATAAAGAATCAGTCTCACAGAAAGAAAGAGAGAGAAAGAAACCACAGGGTTTGAGAGAAACAGAGGGACCCGGCAGCACTGGTGAAATATCGGCCACTCTATCGCCGTGGTGACAGGGGTCACTCGGGGAAAAGGAAATCAATGCTGACAGCAATGACTCACAGGTCAACACATAGCCCTGTGTGTGTGCTTTAAGTATGAACTTGTGTTTTAATTATGCATATGCTAGTAGTGTTAAGTATGTGTGCTACCGTGTGTTTGTGTGAATGCAGGATATGGGGTAGTAAAAATCCTAAACAAAACATACACACAATAAGCATTCCAAAAGAGGAGCTGGTGCGGATGGAGAGATGAAATTAAATCCATTATATGTGAAGTTAATGTTTGATGCATGATGAAGGCAGACTGGCTACCTTTATGTCCGCCAAGTGAACAAGTTGCTTGTTGGGACACCACTTTAAAATACAGGACACAACAAATTAATTGTTAAGTTCCTCCACCGCTTTCTTGACTCAACTGTACAATCTTTTCCAAGAACTTGAAGAAAAATAAGTTACTCTATATTTATGCACCTTGTAATATTGATAGAAAAGTGGTTTGTTGTGTGTTGGAACACAGAAGAAAAATACAATATATCAAACTTATTTTATTTAACCTAAAGATCTTTTTTATAGTTTCTGTATGTTTAGTAAAATCTTTTATTACAGGAATTAAAATAAAGTGGTGTGTGCCTCCCAAAAAGATACATAATAAAAAGACACACAAAAGGCATGCACGATTTTCTCCCCCAATTATGAAACATTCACATTGCAATGCAGCTGCAATGTGACAGTGAGAAGACCTGGCACACGTTGAGGTCAGTGGCTAATATAGGTAGGCTGTGTGTGTGTTTTGGAGTGTCAGTATATGTGTGTGTTTGTGTCTGTGTATGCATGCCTTATATACCCTTGGGTTGGCAGGAGTTACGACCTGCTTACATTATTAAGGTGAGTAGTAGGCTGCGTTATGTATACCTAAACAGCCAGTCCATTCATTACAGATGCAATCCCCTAAGTACATGAATAAGCACACAGCCTACTCTCTCTCTCTTTCTCCCTCTCTCTCTCTGCCTCTCTGAACTGTAAAGGAGACAAAATATTGGTGTGATGCAGAGCGCTTTAGATAAATCAGAAACAGGAGCAAATTAATAATAAGGAATAAAACAACATTAGCTGATTAAGTATGTATGGCAGAGTGGCGGGTGTAATTTACAGGCAGCTGGGTTGGGTGTCCGGAATAAGGTCTCATTACCGATCACTGTGTGTGTGTGTGTGTGTGTGTGTATATATATATATGTATGCATGTGTGTGTGTCCATCCCGTTAGTAATCCGTCACCAGTGGTCTCAGCTTTATGAAAAGGCCTGCAATCTATGATAATGAGCCCTGTGAAGGTTATGACCAGGGTAAACTCATTTGTTAGAGGGAGGGCTTACGTATATATGTGTGTGTGTGTGTGTCTCTGTTTGTGTAGAATACAACTATTCATGGTGTGGAAATATACTATCAATGTAATGGTCAAAATCAGCAGAGTGCATGAGTAAGAGAGGAAAGAAGTATGGGAGTGAGAGAAACAGAGAGCGCATTACACAGACATTGCATCACATCCCTTAGTGTTCTCACTCAGTTTTAAGACAAACAGAACAGGCATATGCAACCCATTCTTATAGAAGGTTCTCTGTCTATAACAAGCAGTACTGGTACTTCCAAAGTGATCACATCTCAATCTGCAGTCGAGGAGGCAAAGATGTGGAAAATAGTCAAACAAAACCTGTCACTGTGGGTCTGTTCACTGTTAGACACTGGAGAGAAGACAGTGGCAGATGCACTGTAGCAGCAGTAGTACTTGTAGTCATAGCAGGACTGGTGATATAAAAGTAGAAATGGTAGCAGTACTTTTACTGTAAGAAAAGAAAGAAACAAAGAAAACTTATTATAGCAACAGTCATTCACAGAATCGCTTCACTTTCTCTCCTCCGCTGTCACTGTTCCTCTATCTCCTTCCTTTCCCCCATCCATTTCTATTCTTTTGTTTCCAGCCTCCAACCTCCTCTCACATTCTCTTGTCTCCTCCTGTCTCATCCACTTGCCCCTCACCCACGCCTCTTCTCTTCCCTGTTTTTTTTTTCCCTTCCCCACCTCACTTTCGCTTTTCTTGCTTCTTTTCTATCTGAAAATAGCTGTCCATTTATGCAATCATTCCATTTTTCCACTCCCCCATTCCTTTTGTCTGGAGCTAGGTCAACTGAAAGCAACAGAGGAGAAAAAACAAAAGCGGGAACACGTATGCGTGAGTCACCAGATCACAACAGAAAGCGAGGAATGAAAAAAGGAGGATAATGCATCTCGTGGTGATGGTGACTGGAAGGAACACGCCAGCATCTTGTTGTCAAAGCATGCATGTTTAGAGTGAGTGTGTACTAAAAATGTGGGCTTTAATTTTGTCCAGAGTGAGCTTGATGCAAGTGTAAAGTGATGCAACTATGATGATAGCCTACAGGAAAAACACACACATGAACAGCCATAAATTCAGGGTTTTTTTTCTGTGCAATCAAGATACTGTATACTGTGTACCTATATATAAATAAACAGTATATACCCACATAAGTTTATTCCATTTTTCATTCTGCATTCTGACATTACTTATAACATCTGAAAATATATTTGTCCTATTTGTGCAGTCTGCAGAGCCAGAGTCGTATGTACAGTGGACTCAAGTGGACACCAAGTCATCATGTTTCAAATTCTACTGACAGCAGGCTTTAAAACACAACATTTCCTACCACACAGATTCAGTGCAGAATGATTGGGAGAGTTTTTATTTAAACCTTACTTATAACCTAGTGAGGAGATACCAAACCCAAATGCAAAACGTTTGCACATTAAATATATTTTTTTATCAACCTGCCCTCTCTCCATTGGATGAAGATATTTACACTCAGAAAATGTTGTGCTTCTAACAGTGCTTTTATGTTTCTCGGCAGCTGGCAGGTTCAGAATGCAAGATATAGCACAAAATGCTAAAGCATTAGCATTGACTGTAGCATGGCTGCAAATAACTTCAACTTCATTATGCTTATTGTTGGATAAGTGTCAGTATTTTTGCATGGTTATTGATTATTTTTTGCTCTAAAATGTTACAAAACAGTTAAAATACCAATCACAATCTAACAGTGCCCAAAAAAGAAATATTTCAAAAAATTGCAAACTGGACCAACAGTCTTTTATTTAGTAAAACACTTTATATAAACAGCAAATCTTTACTTTTAGGAACCCGGAGAGCGCTAATTTTATTTAAGCTTTTATAAATTATAATTATATATAATTATAAATAGGTTACTAATAATAATAATAATAATAATAATAATACAATTGTTATAGATTAATTTTCTGAAAGTCAACTTATCAGCTAATTAGCTAATTAAACGACTAATCGCTTTAGCACTACATTGTAGCAAATCACCTTCATAAACACAGTTGGTGCTTTTAATTGTTGTGTTGTCCAACGATAAAAGTTCCGTCCGCTAAACTTTTGTGCTAAATAAATAAATAAAACAGAAATAAAACAATTACAATACAGGTTAGGGAGCCACAGTCGTATCTGTGTATCAGATGGACTAGTTACAGTTCCATCCTGTGGCTGATATATTATCAAAGGTTTACAAGGGCAGAGCACTACATATGTAAGTTTGGCCTTATGGCTGACCTTACAATGCACTTAGTATCCTGTACAGGGAGTAATGCTGCAGCCACTCCTACAAGCCATTTATTCCAGCTAACGACCGTCAAGCACTCATAAATCAGCATTAGGAACCTCTTTCGCCCTCTCTCTCTCGTTTAGTGTCCCCTCTCTTTGGCTCCCTCCTTCTCTCTGATATTTTCTCTCGTGCTTTCTTGTCT